GAGGTGCAATGTACTCTGCTTGATGTCAGTGTGATGATCGAGGAAGAAATAATCGACACACGAAATTCGACCACTCTGGGGCAAGCGCCTCTGAGGCCCCAACCAAGTTCTGTACGTGCTTGTTTTTGAGCACAGGTTCGTCATCGAAGATAATCATCCGAGTCGGGTTGATGTGGTGCAGTCCTTTAATCAACCCGCCTGTCGAGTCTGAAGCGTGGATCTGCAGGGAGAGAAAGAGATCCGTGACATTTGGAACGTTCCTAAGGATCTCCTCCATGGCAGGACCAAACCCTCCCTCGACCCGCAGCATCTTCACGAAGCGGCCCAGGTGTGGGTTACCACGCAGACTCTTCTGCAGCGCAAGCGCTTGGGCCTTAGACCGAATGACAACCACATGGTACAACAGAGGAGTCGCAACGCGTAGCCATGCCTTGCAGACGAGAAGAGCAGCGGAGCTGGACACAGAGGGGGACGCGAAGGGAGACGTCGCTGCGATGTCTGAAAACATCTCCTCGGATACCGTGAGTGCGGGGGAGAGAATCTCCGAAACAATCTCGTCAGGCAGGTGTCGAAACATCGTCGTTGCAAAGGATTAGGGCTTGAAGGTGGTGCCACCGTGTGGTGAGAAACGAAGAAACGGATCCACATTGTCCACTGTTTCTTTTGGATGCTAATGGCAAGCACGTTGCATGTAAGAACACAACAACGGTAAATAATCACGTAAGTACCAGGCTTGCGTGCCACCACCATGGTCGAATTCGCACAAGAACTCATCGACGCAATCATCGACGAAGTCGCGGCCACCGACGAGTGGTATGAACCCGTAGACCGCAAGAGCCTCAGTGCGTGTGCTTTGGCCGCTCGGACATTCGTCGCGCGTTCGCAGCGACGACTCTTCCAATCGCTCACCCTACCAGTGAGGCATGGCGACATGGAAGAGATGGCCCTGGAGTTCACCATTTCACCGCGGCTTGGATCTTATGTGCAGGACCTCCACTTCGAAAACATATCCCACAACGCTTGGGAGACAGATATCGCATCGGGTACAATATTCACAACGCTCAGCTCTGTGAGGCGTCTCGTCATATCGAGAAGACGGTGGAATCCTGCATCTCGCGAGTTCTACGATGGACTCACCTCAATGCTGTCTCGCCCCTCCCTGCGCTCCATCGGCTTGCTTCACTGCGGCAGCGTTCCTATGTCCTTATTCCTCCACATAATGTCGGCGGGATACGAGGAGGTGGCTTTGGCAACGACGGACTTAGACTATGATGAACCTGATTCGGGGCTCACGCGTTCACCAGAGCCGGATGCCCACTCCGCTTCCACCATCCTTCGTCTGGCTTTGGCGTTCTGGCCGGAGCGCACAGGGGCTGTTGGTGATTTGATGATGAGCGACCATATAGCGGGATCGTTGGAGCATGTGCAGCACCTCAAATTAAGCATCCGGACTCAGGAATGTTTCGATGGACTCCACCGGATTGCACTCAAGTGCGTCGAGCCACTTCAACATCTGGAAATCGACTTTGACGGTGCGTTTTTCAACTGTCTCCATATCAGCCTCGTACTTACTGCTTTTAAAGTGTACCATCTTCACCCAATCATTTTACCCCTCATGCCAGGACTGCGAGTATTAACGCTACAGGCCAAGGTCGCCAAGCTGCGGGTTCCAGACTCCTTGACGACGATGATAGCTACGCTCCCCGATTGCACCCCCAATGTGGAAATCGTGAATGTCATCATCGACGCGCAATTCGAGGAGTACGAATATGGCCGGTATTTTTCCCTCACGGACAGCGCTCTCAAATGCCTCCCACTACTGCGTGATGTCCATTTCGACATTCATACTCCCGGACAAGCTCTACACTTCCGCGATGCCACAAGAAGACAGCTTCAAATGTCCTGCGACGCTGGCCTTTTGTCCTTTTCAGTACGTAGGGCGAACACTAGACTCTATCATCCCATGCGGTATTTCCTGAATAATTAGGCAATGATGTCTTTGTGTACAATGTGCAGGCTTGAGCGAGTGTGGGGTTTCGTCGGTATGCTTCGAAGTACATACAAACCGTGCTACGCATGCTTGCCCTGCGTAATCCAGCGCGTTAGAGCCTAAATCGTACAGAATTCCAGCCATCTTTAATTGTAATTGGCACGACGTCCATGAGTGAACGAACGCGGAGAATTTCAGCACTGATGCGAGAATTCACTGATATCGTGTCAAGCAAAGGGGAATGAGCCTGGAGTAGCATTCCGTGCACTTAAACTTGGGGGAAACCTTTTTTCATCCGACTGGCGACAGCACCGACTGGCGATTGAGTATCTCAGAACCTCCTGGAACTGATTTCCTGTAAAGTCGGAAGCGAATTTTGCTCTCGCATCCTGAAAAAGACGTACAAAAAGGTCTAGGGCTGCGCACCATAGCCCTAGCCCGGATCGAACAGGCTCCCCGCTGAATTCCTGTACCACCTTATTGCAGGCCGGTGCGCACCAGCGCTCTGAGGGCTGGGCTGATATCGAATTCGCTGGAATAAGCACCACTCGAGCTGGGATGGGGGACACATTGAACGGACACAGTAACTAAGCAATAGTTCATTCCCAACACTCTGCATTGTCCTACGAAGAATCGACCCACCCTCCCGCGAACATTCCAGAATCCAAATGTTAAGCATGCGGATGCCTGATATGCATTTTCTCCTTCAGCCGTTGCATCAGCTTCGGCTTCTTGTGCTCCTCTCCCTGTCCCTCTTCCTTCCCCTCTCTTCCGTCCTCCTGCTCCTGCTGAATCGCTCCCTCGGATCCCGGCGTCGAGTCCGCATCACCCTGCGTGACCTCATCGTTTTTCGAAGCGGGGAGGTGTGCATCCGTGGGTGGTGCGGGTAGTGTGGATGGAGAGGAAGGGGCGTTTGCATCGATGTTTGCATCGATGAACGAGGCAGGGAATCTGTCGTTGGGGTTGGACGAGTTCAACGACGCGGAGCCTGTAATAGCATTCGGAGCGACGATGTCGGGCGCACCACTCCCGCCCGACGAAGAACCGTCTGCCGCGATACGCGGAGCGGGCGTATCGGCCGGAAGACTCTCCTCCGCCCGCAGGTCCGAATTCAGCGCCTCGAGCGACATAGTAGGCAGCGCGCCCGCACCGTGCGCGCCAGTAGCCAGGGACGCGTCGGAGGAGGAAAAGGACGGGTTTGGGGTGGCGTCGATGAAGGATTGGAGGCTGGCGCCGGGGATGTTCGACTCCGTGTTCGACGAATCCGAAGCGGTGTCCGTTTTCCCTATGCATATCTCACTAGAGCCGGAGTTATCTTCGGGCCTGAGGGAGGTCAAGGCGGCGGGGCCGGGGGCTGAGAACGAGGGGGTAGGCGTGGAAGCGGCAGCGTCCGCGGCGAGCAGAGTTTCCGCGAGCTTGGATGCGAAATCCGCGTCCGCATCGGTGTTGTGCGCCACGATACTACGGAGGGAGGGTGTCGCCGACGCAGCGGGGGAGTCGGGGGAGTCGAAGACCTTGGATTCGCCAAGGGGGCGGACGGGGTGCGGCGAGTGCGTGCCACCGGTGTGCACCATCGTACTTATATTGTCCGAGTTCAACGTCGCCGTTGAGGAGGAGTATGTGGATCCAGCTTGTGCCTGCGTGCTCAGATTCGATTGGCGGTCGGCAGATGAGAAGGACGGGCGCGGGGGAGTCAGTGAAGGTTCTGGTTCGGGAAATGCATAAGTATGTGGGAAGGAGGAGAATCGCAGGGCCAAGTAAGTAAACGCACGGAGATATTCTGCCAAACTCTTCGGCAGCGAACCATTCGCAGTCTCCGCCACCCCGCCTCCCTCTTTACCAGTTCCACCTTCAGATTCATGATTCGAGGTCGTGGACTTCTCCGCGTCAAAGATTCCTTTCGTGTCTGCGGGGATGGTGGGGACGACGGCAGATCCAATAGCGGGGACCAAGTTCGTGGCTGGATTTGTGCTCATGGTGGATTGCGCAAACGATAAAGCCGGTTCGAGCCTTTTAGGAGCCTCATTTTGTGTGGAGTCGGTTGCTCCATGACGAGCGGTGAAAAGCGGTGTTGTCCGGCGCGGATCATTCCGTGGCTTGGTCGTGCTTGGTCGCACCCCTAACCTGCTCTTGACACCACAACCGAAAACCGGGTTTCTGCGAAGCCTCTGTAGGAACTTTGTCGCTCAGACTGCATCGGAATATCTCTGAGCCATCTGGCCTCTCCTGAGCTTTCCTAGGCCTGGCGGTTACGATGGATCATCAGCCGATTGCAGTCGAAACTCACTGCGAACTTGGCAATTCACTCTGGCAGCGGTTCAACTACCGTGTTTCGCGAACTGGGATGTTCTGAATTTGCTGCATCTCGTCGCTTGCTGCTGCCGTCCGACTGCGCGACGTGCCGGAACAACGCACGCACCCAGATATTCATCCAATTGCCCCCAAATGTCTTTATGGAAGGAAACGCGTGGGTAGACGTTTACGGAGTCGTCGACCTGCCCTGGCAGTGCCTTCAGTTTTGTCTCTATGGCGAATCAATGTCCCTTCACCCTTGACGGACCTTCCCTAGATTCAACACCACTGGGCTTTCACGCCTTTTCCGATATTTGAAAGCATGCAGGGTTTGTCTGGGCTCGAACTCTTGTATTCCCTCCTTTCAGCACCTCGACGTAAATTCATGGGATCTCCATGACGTACAGGAGAATCTCATCTTTCTGCTGTCGGCATACATACCTGCGATGCTTGAATTCAAAGCCACACTCAACATCTCATGAACGATCCAGACATGCTATTCCACGAGTCCCCGCGCCTTCCGTCGGGTCCTAAAATCCGGAGAATATTGCCAGGGACAGAAGGGATGGTTATGACAACAGCTATACCTTCCGCTAAGCAGTATTGATGACCGGGAAGGAGTGAATGACTGAAGACGACCCTTATGTCCAATCTGCCTGAGTCATGATGGGAGGCGCTCAAAAAGCTTTAAACAGAGCGCAAGCATGCAACAAAAGGATGGACGCATTGGGAATTGAACCCAACACCTCTCGCAGGTTTGATTTTTGGGTCAACTGCTAAGCGAGCGTGATAACCAACTACACCATGCGCCCGGTGAAAGCGTCAGCTCGTTTGCGGTCATCATGGGTTAACGTCTTCCTGAAGTGCGCTGCACAAGCTCCTACAAGTCAGCTGGAAGCACAGATCTTTCCGAGATAGTATAATCCAGCTACACATCCCGGAACATTCTCTTCGAATACGATAACCAAGTGTTGCAATTGATCCGAACTCAGCGGTCCGTCCAATATCTTTCAACTGTGGACCGTGATAACTGGCCGTCGCGCGTGAATATGAAGGCACGATAACTGGAGAAGGAGAGCAAGTGGATCCGGAGAAAGGAATAACGATCTCTAGATCTCTCTGATGCGTCTGATTGCGGCGCCATCGGATGCAGACCATCTCGGTGCTTTTGTAACGAACCCCACTGAAAAATCATTCGCCAGATTGTTTGTATAACTTGCAAAAGCTCTGAAAAGTCTACCATTGAGTTTGTGCAGCCGAGATCTTGTCGAACTGGGAGAAGACAAGTTGGAACTTGGCAAGGCCCAGGCCCATCGCATCATGATTCCGGTTGCAGTGTCCGTGGTGCTTCTCCTTCTGCACTCATCGTCGGAGACTTGAAGAAGTGTCGAAACTCTCCCCTCTCGTACACACAACTCTGAGGCTACGCGCTCAGCGCTGGAAACCAACCCACCCCATTACAAGCATATTTGAAGCATATCCACCTTTGGAACTTGGCGCGCCGTGGCGGGCGTCAACCGGGTGGCGCCGTCCACTGCATCCCGCAAATTGATCATGTGTGATGAAGCGCTTGCGCCGCGCCATCATGAGAACAAGTCGATCATCAAATGCAATGATTTTTGCTGCTTCCTCAATTCCCCCACTGTTAAGTACCACTAGTACTGTGTCTCTATATCTCAGTCCGCAACTGTGGGCAAGTTCCTTTCCCTCCGCCCACTGTCTTCAAGTTTTCTCACTCCGATGGGCATACCTCTCACCCCTGAGGCGCTGTGGGTGGTCCAGTCAACGCCGTTCCCGGAAATTCATTGGTTATTGTAGGTTAGCACCGTACTTTATCGGTGTTGTCCTTAACACTTTCTTGTTCGGTGTCAGTCCCTTTCTGGCCTGCTCCCATTCCTCGCTAATAAGTTTGTCATAGCTCCTCGTACAACAGGTTCGTTTCCCAGCATGTCCACTACGCATAGGCTGTAATGATTCCTCCAGACGATCACCTACTACCAGGGCTACAAGAAGTTCATGACCCCAAGTTACCCTTGATAATGCTCTCATTGCTTTCCCCCCAGCGACAAACAATGGCTCCGCTACTTTGTGAGTGGCAGGCGTTGTCTCGTTACCTTACCTACTAACGAGCCGTCCCAGGTTCTCTATATTCGTAGTGGAGACCGTGAATACCGGGATGTGTGTGTGGCCACGATCTATTCACCGTTACATGTGATCGGACAATTCGGTACGTGCTAAGTCGCTTATGGTTGAACTTACTTGAACTCCCTGAAGGCACTCCTTTGCCGGTTACGCTCTTCCCTGCCTGTACGGATCAATTCTCATTCAAATCGACATCAGTGCTCCCGTCTCGTAAGCCATTCCCCTCTCATTCAAACACTTGAAACTGACATGTGGTACCTAGAACTGTTCCTCGAGGTGCGGTACGTTTCTCTCGCTCAAGCAGCGCACTCATGGCATCTCTGCAGGCTGCTATATTCGTCCCCGTGCAATTCTTTTACGCGTGGAGAATTTCGGTCATCATGCGGCACTATATCATTCCTGTCCTCATCTGCCTGACATCTCTGACCTCCATGGGCGAGTTTTGTTCCAAATTTCGACGGACAACTAACTAATGTTTCCAGTTGGAGCCGCCTGGACCGCGGTTATCGTCTACCATGTAAAGGATTATGCACACAAACCCTAACAAGCGAGGTACGAGCTTCCCCATGTTAGAGCGTCTGGCTGCGAGAGACTAGCCTCCGCCACCGAGTCGACATAAGGTACCAACGTGGGCACTGGACGCGCTTGACTTGGGGATGGCACGCTTCGAAGAGGATGCGTGATTTCTTTAGGAGAAGATGTTCACTGCCTTATCGAGATACTCCGTAAGAGAATTCATGGCGGATACCCATCCTTGAGTGGCTCATGAGCTCCTCACGATCTTGATTCTGAGATAGGAAAAATGCATCCGGACTTCAGGAACAAAAGTTGGTCCAGTCAGTTGCGAGTTCGGGTTCGAGTCTGGCCGAATGAAAAAGCTTGGCCGCATGATGATCTCGACATGACTTGGGCCTGAGTCGAACAGGCGTCTTCCACGGCAACTTCTTTGCACAATGAGCAGACTTCGTGGGTGCGCCCCAGCGCTACCAATTTGATACAGACTACATCCCGCGGTGGATTAACCCAACTGTGTATCGAGAGATTATTGATCCCACGCTCGATCCGAGCTGGCCCACAACCGACGTTTGGCCGACGCGCACCGATTGGGTGGGACAGGTCAAACAGGGGACTTCTAGGTTTTTCTCTGCTTGTATACGGCGTATTAAACGTTCTGAAAAGTGAACATAAAGGATGGGACGACGCGCGACGTGTTGTTACTCTGCACGTGATCGCGCTTCGGTGTGACCATCATGATCAATCGCGGCGTGACCTGAAAATTTCCTTTTCCGTTTTTACTCTCACCATGCTGGCCCTTGCCCGCCGCACCGGTAGCTCCGTGCGCCTCAGCCTGCTATCGCGTCCCCCTTCTGCTGCACGCACTGCGAGGGCTTTCCAGGCAGCGCGAGTCCTCGCAGGACCGGTGCAGAGTGCAGTCAGAACGCTCTCCGATGCCGCAGCCTTCGGGCAGTGGAATAATCTTCGTGCTAACATATGGTATGGTACCGTATTCATCTGTTCGTCACTCATTCCTCATACTAACATCTCTTCTGCTTCACAGCCAGCACTGTGCGTCTCTGTGTTTCCTCTTTCTCAGAATTTATCATTGACTCGTCACAGGCTTCACAGAAGGCCACACGCGAAAGGAATGCAAAGCTCCGAAGGCGCCAAAAGTCTGCGCGGCTTGTGGTACCGAAGGCCACCTGCGCAAGAAATGCCCCAACCCCGACCCCGCGCGGCTCGAGGCGCTCAAGTGTTTCCGTTGCGGCGTGACGGGCCATATGAGCCAGGATTGCACGCAACCGCCGAAGTGTTTTGGCTGCGGACAGGAGGTGCGTGTTCACTCCATCCTTTCTCTCCCGCATTGTCTCCAGCGCTGATTCGTTCCGTTTTTTTTTCGCATAGGGGCATATCCGCCGGGACTGCACGACCAACCCACGTCCGCCCAGGTGCTTTGGCTGTGGAAAGGAGGTGCGTGCCTAGTCCAGCTTTCACGTTGTATTAGGCGCTCATGCCCTCCCTTTCCTTTTTTTCCGCACAGGGTCATCTCCGCCGAGACTGCGCCACCAATCCTCCAAAAAATCCGCAGCCCGTGGCGGCCTAGATCCCATTCTCACGACGAACTTATAAATCGGTCGTGGCATTGCTGCACCGACAAATTTAATGTCCCAGGGGTCGATAAAGTCTAATACCCGACTCGCAATCATCTAACCACCACCTCAAAGCTGAGGCCAGCTCGCCACTAACTGCATATCCTACTCATATCTGTATCTTAACTATCTGGAGCGCATCAATGCTCGACCGCCAATGGATCTGGACGTGATTCTCGTGACATCAAGGCTGTTCTTATCCAGACTTCCCTTTCCAAGGTCGACCGTCTTAGGTTACGTCTCTGTCTTCAACTCCCCACCGCGGCCGAGTGTTTCGGTCCACTTCTATGTCTCCTTGTTCGTAGCCTTGGTGCAATTTGTGCCGATCAATCGCCCCGCACGCGCAGCTCAGACCGCAGGCTGTATCTATGTGCTCTGTGCTTCCTGGCACCGACCCATTGATTCCCATGTATTACAACTCTGCGCCAACATTAATATTACAAGGATCTCCTGACCTCATTTATTTCGTTCCTCCTTGGCTTGAGAATCGGTTGCGGCTGAGCGTGCTGGATTGGGGCCACTCTATCCGCTCTGTTGGCCTTTTTATTCCATGCTTGCATGCCCTTCAGCGTGATACAAAAGCACCCAGTTAGGGTCGCGGCCAAAATCTGCGATGGCCCTACTTCGCATTCATTGGCCATCTGCCCTCAATGTCGTGCCGCTGGTAGCGGGCTGACCACCCAAGGCAGGGAAGCACTTAGTGCGTGTTGGATAGCTGAGCACGATGTATATACAGCCTGACAGTGCTCGCACGTTCGACTCGACGCTCTGCCATCTTGGCGTGGTAGATTGTTTTTTCTCCTTCTCGCGCATCGAGAATCGAACCAGAAAGGGTGCGAAAAACTCGTCCATGCTAACGATTCAAGCATAGCCAACTGGTGCAACACACCATTTCGCCAAACAAGCACTGCGCCAGCTGCCGCGAGTACATGCCCCACAGCCATGTGAACTCGCCGCTAGTAGTTGAGGATGTGAATGTAATTGGGTAGACGCTGGAGCGGTCAGTGAGGCCCGAGCTTGTAAAATAATTATCTGACATCTATATGACGAAAAAAGGGTCCTCATCGAATGTGACAACTCGGACCCGAATTGAACAGGCATCTTCCAGATGTATCGAGGCAGACCTAACCGAACTATAGTTCATAGACGTGCTCATGCACCACCGAGTCTGTATCTTCCTTACATCAAAACCAGTCCAGGCTTCTAAAAACTTATTCCTCACTTATCGTTGCAGGTACGGCCAACATCCGTCTATCGAGTCCCTATCAGGACGGCGTCGGCTCTCTGTTGTCATGAAATGTTGGAAACCCGTGTCCGTGATACGGTTAACGCCCCTTGCTTGAATTCTACACCCATACTGCACTGCCATGGACCACCCACCGGACCCTCGGTTCCCAGAGGATATCGACCAGATTATAACTGAAATGCTGCAGGACAAGGAAAAAGACATGGCCGGGACGATGTCCCGCGTCGCATCACGGTTTTATGTTTGGTGGGTCCAGTATTAGTTACAGAGCTGCTGC